GCGTAATCCAGAAAAAGAAACCGTGTGATCTAAAATATCCAAGGCGGTAGGTAGAGATATCACTGGGTCATCCAGGAATAGTACTACATCATTGGCATACAGGAACGTCTTTTCTACTAAGTTACCCACTGGATGCCACACACTAACGGAGAGGTTCACAATGCCAGGGCAATGGGTTCCATCATCAGGGCAAATAGCCCAGGGGATAGAGGACATCCCTACCTAGTTCCACAATGCACAGGAAAAAATTCAGAAACCCTCCCACCCAATTTATTATTAGCTACAGGGCGGTAATAAAGCAGTCCAATCCACTTAAGGAATTCCTCGTTGAAGCCCATACGGACAAGGACTTCACTCATATATCCCCAATAAACGGAGTCAAACGCCTTCTCTAGATCCAGGAAAACCAGAGCACGTTTGTCTTGACATTCAGGATGTAATTCAGCATGAGTAACGGCTCTCCTTAATCTAATATCTGATACCTACTGTGACATAAATCCCATCTAATCAGGTGACACTAATAAATGTAATATTTTAGAGAGTCTGGTAGCCACATTTTTTGTTAGGATTTTTAAATCCATATTTAAAAGAGAAATAGGCCTGTAGGAGGTACATTTTAAGGGATCCTTGTCAGGCTAGCAAAACTATTCGAGCTTTGTAAAGAGATTGTCGTAAAGAATTATTGCATAAGCATTCCTCAAAGAGACAGGTCTTCCATATAATGTTTATATCATTCTACGGGAAGCCCATCAGGGCCCGGCGATTAACCATTAGGAAATTAACTAATTTCATTGGACACTTCCTCCTTAGAAAGAGGACCGCCCAGACTAGACCTGGTATGTATGGTTATTTTTCAACCATATTCTGGGTCGAGCAGGGAGTCAGAATCACCTTAAGGCTCTATGGTCAATAGCCATGCTTGCGTCATACTTTGCAACCAGCCGCCTCTCAGCAGAGTACAACACGACCCTGTGTGAGCTGCAAGGCTAAGAAGCCAATGAATGTCTAATTTGAGATCTATGTTGTATACTTTAGATGAGGAGGGTAAGGAGGGCCAATCGGTCCTTAGGTATTGGAAAATAGACTCATCCTTAAAGCAAACTGAAATTTATGTTGAGCTGTGCTTTCTCCTCAGCTTATTAGCCTGCTGATTTGTTATGCTTGGAGGAAAAAAGGCCGGGACACTTCCCAAGTGCTAATTAACACATTGAGAGAAGAAAATCAGTGGAGCTTGATGTGTTTTTGTTAACTTACGTTATATATGTAGGAAACATCTCCATTCATTTTAATTACAGCCGTATCTTATTGACAGTCTTTTTTTACAGTGACCGTAAAACTGCTCACTGTAATTAAGCAGAGAGATTCAGTAACACATGTAGATAGCTAGAGTAGAGCTCACTGACTTTTACAGTCATGTAAATCAATAGCAGTTAAATAAGTTATACAGCATGCTCTACACTGTGCCTGACCTGATGCCGGGCCAGAGGTCTCAACAGCCTTTTTCTGGTGTATAGAATGTAATGAAGGATAATGAATTGCTAAGATTTGTATAAACTAAGGTGACCGGATTGTGAAAGCCCACTGATACACTAAGTAGCCCAAGTATCCATATTAATACGTTGCGGGAAGCTGAGGCCATGTTGAAGCTACCATTGTAGGCTTATTTTACTAGACTTAGAGGCTCCCTCAAAATGGCATTTTGCTGACCGCAAGTGTTACTTTTGGACTGGTAAACATCTAATATTATTTTCAGTATTAATATAATACAGGATTTATATGACGCCAACAGTTTGCATAGTGCTTAAAAACATAAGGGCAGACAGTACAATTACAATACAGTTCAATACAGGAGGAATCAGAGGGCCCTGCTCCTTAGAGCTTACACTCTAAAAGGGAGGGTCTAGTGATACAAAAGGTGATAACTGTTGGGGGTGAGCTGATGGAGAAAGTGGAAATACAGTTGTTAGGTGGAGGTGGGATAGGCTTCTCTGAAGAGAGGGATCACCTAAAAGAGGACAGAGTAGAAGACAGTCGTGCAGATTGGGGTAGGGCATTCCAGCATTAGAGGAGATGACAAGAGAGCTAGAGCGCAGGAGGTCTTGGGAGGAACATAGAGAATGATTTGGTTGGTATTTTGAGACTAGATTAGTGATATAGCTGGGGGGCCGATTTGTAGTTTTTAGAATTTTAATTTGTTGGGTGACTGGCAGCCAATGGAGGGATTGGAAGAGAGGGGTACTAGACACTGGTAAGGTGGATGAGCCTGGCAGCAACATTCATGAGGGACTGAAGGGGGGATAGCCTATGTAATGGTAATCCAATAAGAAGGAAGTTGCAGTAGTCGAGGTGAGAGATGATCAGGGAGTGAATTAGAAGCTTTGTGGTGTCATTGGTTAGGATGGGGCGTATTTTGGAGATGTTGTGGAGGTGAAGGCAACAAGCTTAGGACAGTGATTGGATGTGGGGCCATAAGGAGAGTTTAGAGTCCAGGGTTACACCTAGCACCCTGCCATGTGTAATAGAATGGCTGGGCAGTCTAGCATGGACAGGGGTGACATTAACTGGGCAGAGATACTTTTCAGCTTGCAACCAGGACTATACTTGAAAGTCAGGCACAAATGCCCACTCTGCAAAGGAGATCCAAGGTTTTCCATGGTTTATATGTGCTCAGCAGGATAGCTGTCTCTAGTCATGCCGTTTACAATACATTTTTGTACTCTTATATTTTATAGCTACATAAACTACACAACTATATAAAGTGAGATTTGCAACATTAACATTTCTACAATTGTTGGCATGTGAACAAATTACTGAGAGCAGGTTTCTGAAAAGAGGCAATTACCAGAGCCAGAAAGCTATATATGGAAAGCATCAAGACAACAGAGATTTTGGGATTTTCAAAAACAGCCACAATAACACAAGAAACTGTGCTAGGTGACCCTTGGGGGATGACTGTGAGAGATGGGTAGCTCAGTTCCTAAAGGAGAGTCACCACTACATAGTACAATAATCACCATTACAGTGCAGTGGTGAGGTACCACAACCAATACTGGCTACCACTACTATCAATGACAAATTACCACAATCATTTGCAGTGGGCAAAAATATCAGCATTGGACTAAAGATGACTGAAATAATGTAGCTTGAGCAAAGGATCCCATGCTACAACAACCCCACCATTATATGTGGTACCTTTTATGAGTATAATGCAACAATGTTTGACTTTGAGATTGAGATGTTTAAAGACGCATTTTAAAATGATTGACATTATATATGGCAGCTATTATCAGGGTTAAAGGTTTTGTAATGTATTGAGAGTGAATTGTAATAACAGGTTTACTTAGGATGACCCCCTTCTGAACTCAAGGGCAGAAGCAGAGTTCAGCAAGTCTCATATCTGGAGAAAGATTGTAAACTGAAACACTGCCAGTTAAAATGTGGCAAGTAAAATTGAAAATTGCATCCTCTGCTTACTTACCAATGACTTGGAGCAAGCATGCAATCAGAAGTCAGAACTCCCTATCAGCATCCTTGTTCTAAGTCAGCAACCTGCTAAGCAGTGAAGGAATGGTGTAGATGACACAAGACACAGATTAATGCAGTTCTGTATCAATTATTAAATCATTATAAGTAGTTTTAAGTATAAGTTGTTTTTTTAAACAAGTGTAAGTACCTGAGTTTAACGTTTTCAATCCCCTTTACAGCAGAATTCATATTGGGACAGGGAGGGGCAAGACTAGAGGTCAATCTAGTGGGCTATATGCAAAAATACTGACAAGGATAATCATATTAGTAATTTGCTGAACTTTCAGTGTCCACTCAGAAAGCTAGGGTGAAGAAACCATTGAGGTGGATTTACTAATGGCAAATAGACTGCATTTTGCAAGTGCAGTTGCGCTCATTTTCCTTAGTAAATGTAAATGGGGTAAAGCCTCAGATGCAAGAAAAATGAAAAAAAAAAAAAAACATTTTAGCTTGCATATGATTGGATGATGGAAATCATCAGAGCTTCACCACATTCACTAAGCTCTAGGGAAAATGAGTGCAACTGCACTTACAAAATGCACAATCTATTTGCCGTTAGTAAATCCACCCCAGTGTATTTCTTCAATATATGTTGATGTTGTATGTTTTGGTGTGCTATGTGGCAGGGCTGTGGAATTCTCAGTAATGGTCAGAAATACAAATCCTTTAACAGTTTAAAAAAAACTCTTGAATATGTATTTTATCCGGGTATTTAGCTGTTGCCTGGAGTTCATCTTTAATATACACTATATTGCCAAAAGTATTGGGTCTCCTACCTTTACAGACACATGAACTTTAACAAGATCCCAGTCTTGGTCCATAGGGTTCAATATTGAGTTGGCCCACCCTTTGCAGCTATAACAGCTTCAACTCTTCTGGGAAGGCCGTCCACAAGGTTTAGGAGTGTGTCTATGGGAAGGTTTGGCCATTCTTCCAGAAGCTCATTTGTGAGGTCAGGCACTGATGTCGAACGAGAATGCCTGGTCTCCGCTCTAATTCATCCTAAAGGCGTTCTATCGGGTTGAGGTCAGGACTCTGTGCAGGCCAGTCAAGTTGCTCCACCCCAAATTTGCTCATCCATGTGTTTATGGACCTTGCTTTGTGCATCGGTGTGCAGTCATGTTGGAAAAGGAAGGGGCTATCCCCAAACCGTTCCCACAAAGTTGGGAGCATGAAATTGTCTAACATGTCTTGGTATGCTGACGCCTTAAGAGTTCCCTTCACTGGAACTAAGAGGCCAAGCCCAACCACTGAAAAACATCCCCACATCATAATCCCCCCCCCCCCCACCAAACTTTACACTTGGCACAATGCAGTCAGGCAAGTACCATTCTCGTGGCAACCGCTGAACTCAGACATGTCCATCAGATTACCAGACAGAAAAGCATGATACGTCACTCTAGAGAACATGCTTTACGCCACTGCATCTGATGCTTTGCATTGCACTTGGTAATGTAAGGCTTGGATGCAGTTGCTTGGCCATAGAAACCCATTCCATGAAGCTCTCTATGCACTTTTGTGCTAATCTGAAGGCCACACAAAGTTTAGAGGTCTTTAGCTACTGACTCTACAGACAGTTGGTGGCTTCTGTGCACTGTGTGCTTCAGCATGTGTTGACGCCACTCTGTCATTTTACGTGGCCTACCACTTCGTGGCTGAATGCTGTTGTTCCTAATTGCTTCCATTTTGTTATAATACCACTAACAGTTGACCGTGGATATTTGGTAGCAGGAAATTTTACGCATGGACTTATTGCACAGGTGGCAACCTATCATGGAAACACGCTTGAATTCACTGAGCTCCTGAGAGTGACCTATTCTGTCACAAATGTTTGTAGAAGCAGTCTGCATGCCTAGATGCTTGATTTTATATACCTGTGGCCATCGAGATGATTGGAACACCTGTATCCAATGATTTGGAGGGCTGGTCCAATACTTTTGGCAATATAGTGTATTTTGATGCTGGATTCATGTGCTGAAGTCAATACTTGCAGAATGGATTGCTTCCCTCTACTGGCCACACATAAAACTTCTATAGGTTTTCAAGAGGACAGCGTAGATGGAAATAAGAATGTACTTAGAAAGCAAATCTTGTCTTGAGGCAAACTATGCTCTATCTTTATGATGGTGTTTTCAGGGAGAGACAAAAGACAGATATATGTTCCTTCTTCCTGCTAGTATCAGCACTGAGCACACAGTACAGGAATACTGAATTTGTTGATGATAGCGATATTACTGTAATGTCCTTATTATATACTACTGAGTGGCACAGTGCTAAGCCCTCTGTTTGTATTGTTTGTTATACTTGTGGGTAGTGTGCTTTAATGACTCCTACTAACCTATCATTTTAGTTTTGTCTGTATGCAACCCTGTCTCCAGCCTTTGGTAATATGGTGAATGCTATGTCATTTCCCAATCACAGTATGCCTATAACTCTGTTTACGAGTACTTATTATGTCCTTGTCCATATGTAATTTAGTTTTGGACAATGTTCCTTATAATCCACAAAACTTCTTAATCCAAGAAAGTCAGTAAAGTCTCCTTTTTCCATGAATTGAAAAACAGCACTAAAAATACAATTCTGAAGACCTGTGCTGTGCTACCATAGGACTGTTACCATGGCGTATGCATGATCACAAAGCTTTGTCAGCATTAATTCCTATACACTGAATATATATATTGTATAAATACCCTAAAGTGGTTCTAGAAGCTGAAGTTTCTTCACCTTCTTGCATTCTATGCATGGAGATTAAAAACCTTCTGGGTGAAGGTCCCCCCACAACTCCCCCTAATACGTACCTGTGCCTGATCTCCATCCAGTAGTGCACGGGAGTAGTGGCTCTCTCCCTCCTCATTGGATCAGAGACAGCAGCTGGAGCCAAGGGCATTTGTCAATCACAGCCAGTGAAGGAGAGGCAGGGCTGAGCCATGCACTTTGTGTCTATGAACACTCAAAGCCAGCAAGCATGAGTGCCCCATAGCAAACAACTTGCTATAGGGGCAATCATTTGGGGGGAGGATCCTGAAGGACCCAGTGGAGGAACCAAGAAGAGGAGTATCGGGGCTGCTTTGTGCAAAACCACTGCACAGAGCAGGTAAGCATACATTTTTTTTTTTAAATTTACCTTTAGTGTTACTTTAACCCTAGTTGCCAAGTAATTTCTTGCGTGATTTGGGATCCTTAGATTCCCAAGATTCTACAAGAAGGCCGAATGATGGTACTGCCTTTTTCAATGTTTTTAATTCTTTTTTTTTTTTTTTTTTTTGTGGGAGAGGGAGCTAAACATTAAGCGGACCATGCATTTTCATGAAAGGTTTTCTTTATCATAGTTTATGTCAACATTTGCATTTGGCTCAACTTTAAAGCCCTGTATAGCTGTTACCTTGCAAGTATGGTAAAATGTAATTATTTTGTGGATGTTTTAGGTCATACATAATATTTGTAATAATTGTATATGTATATCAAAGTTAAATACTATTTTAATTTATTTTATTTTTAATGTATTTTTATTTTTCAGAATGATGAAAGCAGCCAGCCAGTGGAGGTAAGCATACATACTTTTTTGCCTTACCTTTTGTAAAGTACAGAAATAATAAAGCCCAAAATATATTCTGTCACAATTTTTTTTTTATGATTATTATATTTAGAATGGAAGTGATGCACTGCTCAGTATTAGTGAGGAAGTCCAGAACATCAAACTAGTAAGTAAAGATATATTCTTGTCTTTTTTTTTACTTACAAATTGCCACCCTACTGTATACATTGAAGAACACTTATGTTTTTTAAATTTGACTATGAGTTTATATCAAGATAAATAATGATGATAGTGTTCACTAGCAATTTATTAAATGAAATCCTCCAAAACTTCAAGAGCCCCATACAGGGGCTAATGTTGCCTAATGCATGCCAGTGTGAACAAGTTGAAAGGGAGACCTAGCTATCAAAAAGACCACCACCTGGTACACTGGATGTAGGCTCTTAAACATCTACATGTTTGCGATGTATGAACAGAAGGTAATAGATAACTTTGGCCTACAAGCAAAACAATTATTTTGATATGCTTGAAAATATGGACTTTTCAAATATAAACTCTAAGATACAGTGTACGGGGAAGTTTAACAACCATTCATGCTATGTTTGAGTAGCATCAGTGATAATTGAAAACACTTTTTACTATTCAGACCTTGATCCATTCTAATGTAATTTCTATGTTGATTGATATACCTGGCCTTTTCTCAAAGACATTTATGAAGAGCTGCAAATATTTTCTTGTCTAATGGTCATCAGACCACAGTTTATACTGCTCTTTCATGAAGGCTTCAAAATTACCATGTACTAAAGTGGGCATTGGGTTAAACTGCAAGGTCCACTTATGTGGCTGCCCCCACCATCTGCTGTCAAAATACTGCAATAAGGAAATAAAACACTTTAGGATAAAATACTTACCTTACTCAAGCTTCTGGTGGACTTGCCTGGGTAAAGTATGATCCTTGGGTCTTCTAGTAGGATCATGGAAAATTTGAGGATTCTAAATTCAAAAGAGAACATACTCCTATACAGTGCTGTAGCATCCTTTCTCAAAAATTGGAATCAAGAGCTTTCCCAAGATCCCTCTGTAGAACCAAGTGACAGGAAACAAGATTGTGACCGGATCCCAGCGGTAAGGTGAGTATTTTTTTGCTTTGCATATTGCAGCGTTTAGCCAACAGGGGTGGTCGCAGCCACGTATTTGAAGACTTTGCTTGTTAAGAATAAAGCCGGTAAACTACCAGGAAGACTGAAAACCAGATAACAACTTGTTTTGCAGCTTGTAGTTCACTCTAGAAGTTCCAAAACCTAGGGTTCTCTATTATGCCAAGACACCTTATTGCTAACAGTTTGTAGACACCTGGCCATCACACATATATGTATTTGCTTGTTGGACATGCCATTCCAAAACCATGGACATTAATGTGGAGTTGCCCACCACAGCTATGACAGCCTCCATTTTTCTGGGAAGGTTTTCCACAGGATTTTGGAGCATGTCTGTTTGGATTGTCCCCATTCAATCAAAAAAACATTTGCCAGGTTAGGTACTAATGTTGGATGAGAAAACCTGGCTTACAATGCACGCTCCAATTCATACCAAAGGTGTTCAGTAGAGTTGAGGCATAGGGTGTGTGCAGGCTATTTGAGTTTATCTACACCAAACTCCTCAAACCATGTCTTTATGGACCTGGCTTGGTGCTTAGGTGAACAGTCATGTTGGAACAGAAATGGGCCTTTCCAAAACTTGCCTCAAGACCAAACATAGACAATTGTCTAAAATGTTCTTTGTTTGCTGTAGCATTATGAGTAGTCATCTCTGAAAACTCCAGCATTTTGTAAATTGGGTGGAAAGGGCATGCGTAGCAAGTATGATGGTCAGGTGTTCACAATTGTTTGACCATGTAGTATTGCTTTTGAAGTCATATTTGGGCCCATGCCTTCCCACCTCCTTGGTCTGCAAGGCCAATATCAAAGCTATAGACTAGTAGTGAGTCATTTCAGGATCTGAAGTCACTGAGGGTTATTTACTAAAACTGCATGGTGCAAAATGTGATGCAGCGTTTCATAGAAACCAATCAGCTTCCAGGTTTCAGTGTCAAAGCTTAATTGAACAAGCTGAAGTTAGAAGCTGATTGGGTACCATGTACAGCTGCACCAGATTCCAAGTGCTCCAATTTTAGTAAATCTCCCACACTGTATACATAATCAAGCACCTTGAATTTATGAGCCCCTGGAATGGCTTTGTATGCTCAGTGCACATGCAGACCCCCCCTAGACCCCTATTTTCAGTCTTGCTGATAGTTTGTTAGCTGTAGACTGCATACAAATTAACCTTATTATGTGCAATCTGTGAAATGTAATAAGCCATTCCAACCTATCCATAATTACATTTCTGACTGCTTTGAATTCATGAAAATTGGAATTGCAATCTTATTTGCATATCATTGTTGCTCTTTGCACCCCTGCCCCAGTAAATAAACCAGAAATTTGTATGAATTATTAATAATGGAGAAAATAGAACTAGCGCAAAGGGCAAATTGTCTATGACAACCAATTAGATTTCTCGGTTCATTTTGCAGATAGAGAAAAGATAAATCTTACTGGTTGATGTAGATAACAGCTGCACTTTTTCTGCAGTTGTCATAGCTGATTGATCAGATTGTCTGATGGCTGATAAACCATATTATTGTAACCAGTATGTGAGAGGACCCATCATATGACTCTTACAAGATTTAGGGTAAAACTACATTGCTCCTTCATACGATGGTTCCACTTTACACATCTGGAATACAATCCTAGAAGCTTAATAATAATGTACATGTGTCCTAATTTTAGAAAAATTCAATTAACATTATTGAATTCAGAAAGTCTTTTTTTTTTCAGAATTTTCAAGGATACCAAAGATGAAATGTTTGCTACCTGTGAACATTCTATGAAAGCAAAATTCACAAGAGGCACAGATAAACTTGTCTTGTTCTATTACTGGCACTCAGCTAAGCTGCTATTGAATGTAACATCTCAGAGCAAGCTTACTGAGTGTATCTGAATAGAACTGGTGGCTAGAATACACGTATGATGATTGAACTAGAGATAACCGATAATGAGTCATTCCTGATATAAATCTTTGGTACTGATTCTTGTCTCTTTTGTCTTTCTCTCTGTACTAACAGCTTTCCTTTTCCTCTTCTGAACCTCTGAACCTGTGTCATTAAACGGGATTCCTTTTAAAGATATATATATATATATATATATTTATTTCCTTGTGTCCATATAAATACATATATATATATATATATATATATATACACTGTATATACCCAGTGAAGTGACTAGCCTCAGGTGATACACAGAGATTAAACAAATCCTCCTACATAAATTGTACCTGTTTATCTGCAGCACTCTCTCCTCTACACCCTTCTAAAGCACATATTATACACAGCGTTTCAAGAGGCAGAGGGCAGGATCTGATGTCACACGCTGCACAACATAGAGCAGGGAGATAAGTGTAACTTGAGACCTGATTGGAGAAAAAAAAGACACACCCCTCTCGACACAGTTCATAGGGAAACATATACAGCTGAGGATGTCAATCACCTGCTGTGTACTGGGGGGGGGGGGGATTCTGTGGTGTTGGCATACCCTGTAAGAAATGACTCATTCAGGGAGAAGAGAGAGCAGACAGAAACCACACTAAGTGCTTTGGACTGAAGCTAGTACACATTATAGAGGGATATGCTTTGTTTATTTTTTATTTCAGAGGTTTCCAACCAAAGTTTAATTACTTTTTTTTTAATAAAATATGCCCAGTATGGGTGTATTTTAGTGGGATAGTTAAATGAATTTAGGGTAAGAATAGGCCCATGTATCTTGCCAGAAGGACCTAAATCAGTGCATTTATTAAAAACAAAAATTCATAAAATGGATATCCCCTTTAAAGGCTATCTCCTCCAGAAACCCACCTTAAAATATTGTTTTAGATGGACCAAGAAGGGTTGCAAGTTCTGTATAAATTTTTACCACCCCAGGGGTTGATTGGACCAGTTACAGGAACAAACTCTTCATTCTCCATCTAAAATTTTGTGGGTCATTTGTGAGGACTACAATACAGGAGCTGTCATAGCTGACTTTTATTTAAAGGTGCATGTTCTTTGTTGGCGTCTTGTTTCTGACTTAACTATCCAGTGAGTTCCTGATATTGAAGAAGAATGTGGGACGGGATTCCAGACTTTTTAGACTTTATTGGCTGCATGATTATTGCAGGACAGCGATTCTGTGGGGTTGGTTTACTAAAACTGGAAAGTGCAAAATCTGGTGCAGCTCTGCATAGAAAGCAACCAGCTTCCAGTTTTTTGCCAAAGCTTAATTGAACAAGCTGAAGTTAGAAGCTGATTGGGTACCATGCACAACTGCACCAGGTTTTGCACTCTCTAGTTTTAGTAAATCAGCCCTGATAATTCCTTGTGCACACAGGTTTCAGTTTGTATTGGAGCAGTGGGTATAGCAAGCTTTTGCAAAGCTTTCAGCAAGCTTTCGGCAGGCTTGTCGAATATTGTAAAGCAATCTTTGGTTTCAGTTTTAGGGTGTTGAAGACAGATACAAATTGGAATGATGGCTGTTACTTCAATAAGCCTCTGGCAGTTTTAGCAGAATTTAATCAAGGTTCAAGTAATGTATTGCTTATTGAAGCTTCATTAAAATAAAATGACAGCATATGTTCCCATTAAGATCTGTGTGCTTAACATCTCCAAACTGGAGCTAAAGTTTACTTTAAGGGGTTGCTTTACTAATGGGCTGTTTGCTTTGCAAGGGAATTTGCATTGTGCAGACGAAATTGCCGCCCAAGCTTAGCAAATGAGGTTATTCCCATTGCAAGGGAAGTTGCATTTTGCAAAATAATTTGCCCCCAAGCTTAGAAAATGTGGTAAAGCTCTGTCATCCAATCATGTACAAGCAAAAATGCTGTTTTTTTTCTTCATGGGATTGGGTAATTTTTGGAAAGTGAACTTTCACAGCATTCACTAAGCTCAATTCCATTGCATAATACAACTTCTTTTTTAAACTACAGCCTGTTTGCCTTTATTTAATCAACACCACATCTTCAAAGCTGTCTGAAAGCTCTGAAAATTCTTTGTGAGCTCTTGCTGTACGGACTGCTGTTAGGCCCTTTTCACGCGAGGAAAAATTCAATTGTCTT